CGCCAAAAAAAAATGAACCAGTTATTTTTTCTTTATCAATCGATGGAGTAATGCAAGACTCAATTTCAAAGATAGGCTAAGTGAAGCTGCTGTCATAGAGATTTGAATCCAAGGAATGTATTGGGGACTTCGTTACATCTTGCAAGGAATTAATCCTAGGACATTTGAAGAACTTTCCACCCATGCTCATGATATGGAGTTGAGCATGGCTTTTGCGAGAAATGAAGGGTTGACCATCTACGAACCTCGCAAGGTAAAAGGGGAAGAGATAAGCAAGAAGTCAAGAAATGGAGCAAGTTCGTACCAAAGAATGAAAGCAAAGAATCCATGAACGTCAATGCCTCTCCTGTGAAGTTTACTACCAAGGTGAGCAAGAAACAGAGTATGAAAATAACTTTCTCTCAAGACAATGCAAATCGAAAGTTAACTCTCAAAGAGATGCAAGAAAAGGAGTACCCATTTCTACACTTGGACGTGCCTGCGATATTTGAAGAACTCTTCGAGCTAAAGCTTATATAGCTGCCAGAAATGAAGCAGCCAGATGAAGCTGGAAAAAGTAATGACCCAAATTACTGCAAATACCATCGGCTTGTAGGTCACCCTCTTGAGAAGTGCTTTCTCTTTAAGGACAAAGTTATGGATTTGGCTCGTCAAAAGAAGATCGAGCTTGAAGATAAAACGACGAGCATAAACTATGTGTCTATTGCCTTTGGATCATTCGATCCAATTGAGATACGCACCTGTAAAGGGAATAAAGATGAAGATTTGTTGGAGGATGACAAAGTCCGAGTTGATCAACCCGATGAAGAAGGTTGGACCCTGGTGACTCGTCGAAAACGCCGTACATTGAGTCCGCAAAAAGGATTAACGAAGCAACCTACAAGGAATAAGATGGTGAGAAGACAGAAGAAGAGACAAATGGTTAAGAACCCAAAGAAGGTGAAGATAGAGACACACCATCACCAAACGCCATGCCACCCGGTGACTTTGGGAGAATTCATGCCGAGTTGGTTTCACATGAGGATTTCTAATGACGATGACAAGGCCTTATGTTGTAATGCTGATAAAGAAGGAGAGGAAATAAATGAAGTCACATCAACACCGTCTCCATCACCGTCTAATAGTCTTGTTGAGTCCGCCTTCTAAGAAGCAGATATTTGTAATGCAAAAATCACCTTCACTGAAGATGATCTCCTACTTGGTGAGACACCACACAATCGCCCTTTGTTTATAGTAGGTTATGTGCTCGAGTGGAGGATAAACATAATCTTAATAGATGACGGATTTGCAGTTAACATTCTTCCCATTTGCATAATGAAAGAACTCGGCAACTCAACTGAAGAACTTTCTGAAAACATTTGATGATTCAAGGATTCAATCAAGGGGGACAAAGGGCCATAGGGGCTATCAAACTAGAAATCACCATGGGAGATATGCAATCAACTGCATAGGTGCATGTGATTGATGCAAAGACTTCATACAATTTGTTGCTTGGCAGACCGTAGATACACAAGAACACAGTTGTCCCATCAACTTACTACCAATGTTTGAAGTATAATAAAGATGGAGTCAAAAAGAAGATAGTTGTTGATGACAAGTCGTTCGCCAAAGCCGAGGCATACTTAGCTAATGCAAAGTTCTACTTGAAGAACTACATCATTAAGTGAGTAAAAGTTGATGACATCACTAAGGCCAAAGGTGATAATATCATGTCCAAAAGGGGCTGAAGTAGCTTCTGGTGAAGATAAAGTTACAACAGAAGCATACCAAGTTTTGAAAGCTCACAAAAAGAATTCTACAACTGCATGCAAGAAAATAGCTCCTTTATTTTATTACATCCCAAAAGTGAAGAAAGATGAAGGATAATCATCAAGCCTCCAAAAATATGCGCTAAAAGAATTAACCCTTCCTATAAAGTAGATTGATACCATAAAGTTGTCTTCAAAGTTACTGGAAAAGTTTGTGGCCCCTAACATGCCTCAAAATAAGGCAATCCCCACAAAGTGTACAAATAAAGATTTTGATCTGAATGCTTACAGGTTGTTTGTAAAGGCTGGATATGATCCCAACGAAACATCTAAGCTAGGGAAGCTCCCACCTGAAGCTACTAGGAAATCAAACACGATGAAAGATAAGGAGTATGTGGTGAAGCAATCACGTGAGGGCCTTGGTTACAAACAACCTTCACCAGGTCGTATCTCCATAAGAAGAGCAAGTAGTAACTATATCACGATGCAAGATGAACCCGTTGATCCTAATAAAAGACCTTCTGTCTGTGGTCGACATGGAGAACCAACTACAAGAACTTCTATATTTGAGAGGTTGGAAAAAGAACAAGTCCCAAAGAAATTACAGAAAAATAAGAGGACATGTATCATCTAGAGTCCAAAGTATCTCCAAAGAGTGTCAAAGTCAGATCCCTTCTAGAATAAGGCGACAATTAGAACTTCTGATTTCATGCGGAGAGGTACTCAAAGTGAAGACTTGCACAGTGGTCCACACTAGAGAGTGTGATGAAGATGAAGAAAGTGTAGGATCTTCATATCACATTACTGCGAATGAGGAGCAATACGGTTCATTTTTAAGGAAGTTCGACAAAAAATTGGGAGATACCTCTTGGTGTGGCCATATATCTTTCAATGATGTTGATCCCCAAGAAGACAAAGATGTCAAGGACACTTCTCCAGAACTAGAAGAAGGAATTAAAATGACAGTTGATAAATTGAAAGAAGTCAACCTTGGCACTGCGGAAAACTCCAGGCCCACCTATGTAAGTGCCCTACTAACCGCAGATGAAGAAAGCACTTATGCAGAGATACTCAAAGAATATAGAGATGTCTTTGCTTAGAGCTACAAAGAGATGCCTGCTTTAGATCCTAAAGTAGCAGTTCATCATCTCGCGGTCAAGAAAGGAGCTCGTCCTGTTAAGAAAGCCCAAAGACGCTTCAGGCCAGAATTGATCCCATCAATTAAAGCCGAGGTCAACAAACTCATTGAAGCTGGTTTCATTCGGGAGGTTAAATATCCTACATAGATTTCAAGCATTGTTACTGTGAAGAAGAAGAATGGCCAAATTCGAGTTTGTGTCAATTTTAGAGACCTCAATAATGCTTCCCATCCCAGAGCTAATGATTGATGCCACCACCGAATACGAGGCGATGTCTTTCATGGACAGATCATCTGGCTATAACAAAATACGTATGGAACCAAAAGATGAAGAGCTTACTGCATTTCGCACTCCTAAAGGAATTTATTGCTACAAAGTAATGCCCTTCGGCTTGAAGAATGATGGCGCCATGTATCAAAGGGCAATGCAGAATATCTTTGATGACATCCCTACACAAGACTTAAGAACTGTGTTCAAATGACTCCGGAGATATCAACTTAGAATGGACCCGCTGAAATGTGCCTTTGGAGTTACTTCTGGAAAATTCCTTGGCTTCATTATTCGACATCGAGGGATTGATATAGATCAAGCCAAAGTTGATGCAATCTTGAAGATGCCCGAGCCCAGAAATATACATGAACTGAAAATTCTATAAGCAAAATTGACGTATCTTAGAAGATTCATCTCAAATCTAGCAGGGAAGTGCCAACCTTTTAGTCGTCTCATGAAGAAGGGTGTAACTTCTGAATGGGACCAAGCTTGTAGCAACGCATTCTAAAGCATCAAATCCTACTTGATGAAACCTACGATTCTGGCAGCCCCTGTACTAGGAAAGCCATTGATTCTATATATTGCGGCCCAAGAAAGTTCAGTTGGAGCACTTTTGGCCCAAGAAAATGGTGAAAGTCAAGAAAATTCCCTCTAGTAGTTGAGTAGGATGATGACCCCAAATGAGCAGAAGTATTCTCCGATCGAAAAGTTATGTCTGGTATTGTCTGGTATTGGTTTTCGCAATTCAAAAGCTGAAGCACTACTTTGAAGCTCATGTCATCCGTCTCAACTCAAGGGCGAACCCGATCAAGTTTGTTATGTCAAAACCCATCCTCAATGATCGATTAGCAAGGTGGTACCTCCAATTTCAACAATTTGAGATTGTGTACATCCCACTAAAAGCTGTGAAAGGACAAGCTTTGGCAGATCATCCAATACCTGATGATTGGGAGTTGACTGATGAACTACCTAATGAGGATGGAGTGGTCATCGAAGTGAAACCACCTTGGAAAATATATTTTGATAGTGCCGCACATCGTGAAGGAGCTAGCGCAGGTGTCGTGTTTGTCACTTCTCAAGGAAAGGTCTTGCCATATTCCTTCACCTTAACACAACATTGCTCCAACAACGTTGCAGAATATCAAGTACTTATACTTGGGCTTGAAATGGCCGTTGATATGAGATAACTCCAATTATATATTTTTGGAGACTCTAAGTTAGTGATCAATCAATTGTTAGGTAGCTACGAGGTCAAAAAGCCAGAATTGAATCCTTACCGTGATTAAGTGCAGAAATTGATTGGATGGCTTGGCAATGTAACTCTTCAGCATGTGCCAAGGAAGGAAAACAAGAAAGCTGAAAGCCTTAGCTTCCCTAACTTCGACATTGACTATGCCCAGCCAGACACAAATCACTATCTGCCAAAAATGGATAGTACCACTAGATAAGAACGAGGATGAAGAAAGCAAGCTCGAGCGTTTGGTAGACGTAGCTAAAGCTGAGAAGGTTGATTGGCGACAAACGATGATCGACTATTTATGTTATGCGATACTTCTTGAAGATCCAAGGAGAAAGATTGAAATTCGTCAGCGTGCCCCTCGCTTCCTTTACTACAAAGACACTTTGTATCGAAGATCATTTGAGGGAGTTCTCTTGCGTTGTTTAGGGGAAGATGAAGAAACTCAAGCTATGCAAGAGGCGCACTCTGGAGTTTGTGGATCACATCAATCTAGGCTGAAGCTCCACTTACTACTGTCCGACAATGGTGAAAGATTCCTTAGGTTATGCTCGAAGATGCAAGGCTTGCCAGTTTCATGCAAATTTTATACACTAACCACCTGAAATGTTACACACTACTATTGCATCTTGGCCATTTGATGCTTGGGGATTAGATGGCGTTGGACTACTTCCAAAATCTTCTGGAGGACATCTATACATCTTGGCTGCAACTGATTACTTCTTAAAATGGGCCGAGGTTGTCGCTCTCATGGAAGTGAAGAAGGAGAACTTTGCAAACGTCATTCGAGTGAACATCATCTATCATTTCGGCATTCCTAGTTATATAATAACAGTTAATGGCAAGTCGTTCGATAACAAATTCATGACCAAGATCTGTGACCTTTTCGGCTTCAAGCAATGTAATTCGTCAATGTATTATGTTGCTGCAAATGGAATAGCCAAAGCATTTAACAAGACACTTTGCAACTTGTTAAAGAAGTGAGTATCCAAGTCTAAAAGAGATTGGCATGATAGAATGGATGAAGCTTTGTGGGCATATTGGACGACTCATCGCATGCCGACACAAGCAACTCCTTATTCTCTTATTAATGGAGTCAAAGCAGTTCTTCCTCTTGAGCGTCAAATACCATCCTTGTGACTCACTGTACAAAAAGGTCTTACTGAAGAAGAAAACACTCGTATGCGCCTTGAAGAACTAGAGTCCCTTGATGAAAAAAGGCTAGAAGCTCAACAAAGTCTTGAATGTTATCAAGCTCGTCTTTCTCGTGCTTTCAACAAAAAGGTTAGCTTGTGTTCCTTCCAAGTTGGCGATCAAGTTCTTGCAGTAAGAAGACCTATTATCTGTTATACCCCATGTTTCCGTACATGGAAGTATGCAATAAGTAAATTGATAGAAGCTCGGAAAATGAGATGTTACATCCCGCATTTTTGTATGTTAAAGTTTCGTCGTAAGTTAATCGACGTAAGTTCGGGAATGAGATTATTTTGGAGATTATAAGCATTATGACATTTCAAACACATGATGAGTAAATTCGTGAAGGAGAGAAGGTAAGCAAACAGAAGAAAATGAGTTTCGTTAAAAGTTGTCGATTTGGGATATAATACGGTCCGAGCCAAAATACCCGGTGTTTATAGACTAGTGTCACACAAGGTACTCCATGACCATAATAGTATGATGTATAAAGTGTATTAAAAATAAGTAGAATTTTTAAGTAATTTAAGATAATATTTAATTATGCGGGTTATTAATTAATTACCGGGTAGCGGGATATTACCTAATTAATTAATTAATTGATCATAGGATAAGATTAAAATCCCCACCCCACCCCACATGGTAGCTTTTGCCTTAAACAAATTGTGACTCATGCCTTTAGTCCATTCAATTAGTAGGCACATGGACATTAATTTATTTATTCAATTTAGCAAGTGGAGTAAGTGACTCTTGCCTTCTTAAGCTATTTACACGTAGAAGGTGGAGTCATATTAGTCATTAAACTTGTCTTCCATGGATATCAATCCATTTTGACAAAATCATGATATACTCAGAAAGGATACATAAAGAACAAAAGTGAGGAAAATTTTGAAAACTTCATACTACAACAGCAGCAATTAACAATCAGATGCTAACTTCACTTTCTAGGATTTTAAATACAAAGACCATTTCATTCTCAAAGACTACAAATTAGACGTGAGGTTTTGGAGATTAGCAAGGTGATTTATTACAAATTGCTACAAATTCGTAGAAATTCTTACAAAACACTACAACATAATTTCTTCAATCAATGAGGTTTCTTAGCACATTAACAACGGGATTTTGTAATTCTAAGGGAGTACGGTGCAATCCTTCTCAAGAATATCGTACGGATTTTTTCCTACTCCAGGTATGTTAAGGCTATCCCTTCTTTCTTTTGGCATTATCTATACGACACGAACGAAACGAGCAAATGTACAATTTCCATAAATAACTCTATTCATAGAAATATTAGTGGTGTCTATATTCTTGATTCCCCATGTGAATTATAATTATATCTTTTGTTCATGGGTCTCAGAAAAATACGTGTTTGATAAAATTTATCCGACAGACATATTATTTTTATGATATTCCGAGAAAATCTTATTAAAATATTTCTTATGCATTTCATGCATTTATAAATTTGCATTGACCCATGACCATATGGCGTTATATACGCGTATATTATATGTATATGGGATATGGGAAAAGGTTATGGCGTTATATATGCACCACCACCTGATCAGCTGGTATACGTTGATGATTTGCCCACAGTGGCCGAAATGATATGATGGGATGCCCTCAGAGGCTTGATGATGTTATGAACACATATACATATGCATGGTATGATATTTATACGCATATGCATGACATTATAAAAATGAAATGGTTCACAGAGCTATGCAGACGTACATGTCGAGTCTTTTACTCAATGTTTCTCTCATGTCTTTTATTTACTGATTTGCATTCCTTACATACTCGGTATATTATTTGTACTGACGTCCCTTTTGCCTGGGGACGCTGCGTTTCATGCCCGCAGGTCTCGATAGATAGGTCGAGAGTCCTCCAAGTAGGCAATCAGCTCAGTAGAAGATATTAGTGCACTCCATTTGCTCTGGAGTTGCTTGTTTGGTCAGTATGATTTAGATGTGTATGGTTTGGTATGGCGGGGATCTATCATGACCTTTATGACAATTATGTACTCTTAGAGGCTTGTAGACATATGTCGTGTACGTGAAAGATTGTACGNTTCGGTTCGGTTCGGGTAGTGACAAAAGTGGTATCAGAGCAGTTCTGTCCAAGGGAGTCTATAAGTTGTGTCTAGTAGAGTCTTGTTTATGGGTGTGTCGTGCACCACACTTATAAGCAGGAGGCTACAGGGCATTTAAGACTGTCACTCTTTCTTCTTACTCTATATCGTGTGGTAGAGCTCATTTGTAAGAACTCAATTTCCTAAACACTATCTTATTCATAATGCGATGATGCCTACATCCAGAAAGACGATTGGTCAGAGATATAGCTATAGAAGAATTGAGTCAGAGGAAACTCGATTTTATGCATCATGCTTATGATGAGTAAATGTAAGGTCTTCAGTAGATCATGTGTGTATAAGCTTCTTGATAAGGAGCCTTAAGGAAAGTATATCTATCTACCAATTTGATGAAAAGCAATGAGAGACTCAGAAGATAGATACAAGTTTCAACAAGTAAAAGAAGCAAGGTAAAGAAGGGAACGAGGTACCCAGTTAGTGAAGATGATCATTATCTACAACTCAAAAAAGAGATATAAGCATTTTGAGTTACCTTCGACAGTAACAGAGGTATGCACAATTGGCCACACCGATCTCGGTTATGCCCTATGGGAGCTAGCAGATATGGTTTAAGATAGGACGGGATATCAGGATCCGGCTGGGGTTAGAATAACCCAAAATGGCGAATGGATTATTTGTCGTTTATTGACATCTCCGAAGGATATTACAAATGTGCTAGTAGATCTCATTGTGAGACACTCTAAAATAGTACAGCTAGATATGAGTACTACAAGGACGTGCACTGGAATCCTAGAAGGGGTAAATATTACCTTAGTGTGGCTCACGTCCCTAGTAGAGAAAGAATGTTTGGAAATCGAAGAGCCAATGGATGGAGCAATGGGAGCTAAAAGCAAAAGAATGTTTTGTTCGAATTTTCAGAATAAAGTGATAGATAGAAATATTAGCAGGGAAGTACGAAGAGGGATAATGAAGCATTATGAGTGAGATGTAACACATGGATGGCAACGGTAGAGTGTTACAGAATCTATAGTCAAATGAAAAAAGAGACGAGAGGTGATGGGCCTTAAGACAACAAAAGAGTATAGGCCATAAAGTTATATCCTCATTTCGAGAAATAAGTTCGTCACTCCAACGCGACTACCAAAAGAAAAAGTTAGACCCTAGAGTAATAAGAAATCAGCATGGACTGATGAACAAGATAACTAAGCATGAACTAGGGACCGAGTAGTAGTCGGCATCATGAGAATTTCAGAGATTGCATCCCGGCGATAATAGAATGGACAACAGAAGAAGATTCATGAGAAATTCAAAGAATGGTCATTCAGAAAGACGCTTCCCCAAAGTAAGCAAGGTGAGTAAAGTTAAGCTTAAGGGACTGTATGTGCCAGTTACACTAAGTGTCACCCTCGCGAGCGAGGAATTTCGTCATCCTCGGTGCAAAAGGATTACCACAAGGCGAGTAAGGATCATCAATGATGTGAAAAGACGATAAAGATGAAGAGGTAAAACATCTATAGGTAGATCGTCGTAGCACTAAATCTCAGTACTCCCCTAAAGGGGGGGAATATGAAGTGATGTGGCATTAAGTCAGAATTAAGTAGTTCTAGTAATTAGAGAATGGTAAAGGAGGAATGCGATAAAAATGACAAAGGAATGAGATTGCACTTATTCAAACCTTACATATATGCTACGAGTTATGCAAGAACGGCGTCAAGGAGAGGAAGTAAGGGTTCCTTCCTGGGATGTTATTGATAGATAAGGAGCCAGTGTGAGACGTAAGTTAGGACAAATGAAATAACCCAAGAAAGATTACACGACAATATTAATATGAGGACGGGCCAACGAATAGTTAGCAGTTGATTCAGGAAGAGCCTAGTTATGGCTAAACAAGAGGATACAGACAAATCAACAGATCGTGCAAGATAAATATAGTGAACCCCAACATGGAGAATTCAGCCTTGCAGCAATGTCATTATAATACTTGAGATATATTCAAATAGGAGTCGGGGTAATTAAAGGTACGGCATGAATGTTACGGGAATAAAAGAGAGTGCCACTGGGAAGACAATCAAAATATCAGTTCAGAAGCAACCCTACAAGCACAAGGGCATGGAGGTAAGCAACTACGATAATTATAGGCAAGGAAGGACATCAAAAGGTCCGTAATAAGCTCACAGCTTTACAAGAGTCAAGGGTTCTCCCTAAGTACTACAACGAAAGACTAGCTGAGGAAATAAGGAAGAAGGCTTCAACCTAAGCATAACTACCTAAAGAGGAAATGGTCGTGTAACAACAGTCTCACAACAACATTGTAAGCACTCCAAAGGAGAATGGCACCTACCGTGGCTAATGAACGGGAAGTAAAATTAAAAGTAATATTTGAGATCATATGAGATGCACGAAAACTCTGGCATGCTTGGGAACTAAGATAAGCTAAGTATGCACACAACAAGAGGGCAGAAAGACCAGGAAAAGTAATAGCTTACGTTAAAGAAATCTAAGAAGGAACGAAAGGAATTATTCGATCAATGATCCCGAGTTGGTGACGTTATGAACGCACTTAAGAGTTTGGAGTTTTATACCTGCAGCATATACAGCCGTAGAAGATTCTGGTATATGTTAAAAGAAAGAATTGAGCCCAGGTCATAGACGAAGGATTGAATTGTTAGAGGATTGTATCATGGATATCCCTCAGTGCCCG